ATATATATATATTAATCCATAAACATCTAATCGAATCAAAATCATGATACATGCAGCCCTAGCAGTCTCCGTCTTGCACAAAATTTATATTCAATTTATCATACTATATCCATGTTATCTGGTACATAATCCGAAAATCATTTTCATTTCTCCAAATGAAGAAAAGAATATACCCATCTTTTAAATACAATCTTTATTTTACTTAGTATGAATTTTTTTATTTTATAATTTAAATTATAATAAATTATAAAATAGAAATTTATTAAATTTAAAAAAGAGTTTTTAATACTAAAATGCATGTCCATATTTAATATATAATTTAAATTATATAATTCTTTTTTGTTATAGTATATACTATCAATTAGATGACAGCAAGTTGGCCTCAGAGCACATAGAAAATTAGAAATATATATATATCGGAAAAGTGCGGATCAGTCCTGCCTCCAAAAAAAATTTGGTGTCCAAAAAAAAAACGACGTCGTTTTTCTCTTAAAATACCCATTGTCCGTCCCCCCTCTGCAATCATCTCCATCTCCTTCTTCACCCCTTCTGCAATCGTCTCATGCCGCCGACCCAAGTCTGCCGCTGCAATTCATCATCTTCGATAAGTGCTTTGTTGGGTCTCTCTTCTTTTTTTTTTTTTTTTAAGTTTTCAATGTAAATTTCTTAAGATGAAATTAATGGGAACAACTACGATTCCTTCAATTTTTCACTCAAAAACACAGCTCCTGCTGTGGCCCCTCTACAATCATTTACATCTCTTTTTTCATAAACCAAAAAAGAAATTCATTGAAGAGAAAATATTTACTTTTTTTATTCTTGTTTCTATCTTATTGCTTTTCTATTTTGTTGCATAAAGCAAAGCAGTTGCTGGATTTCCTTTGCATAAATTGAGGGAAATGCTATTTTTAGAGTAAGCTTTGGATGGTCCTTATTCCTATCATTTTCGGAATTGTGGTCCCTTTGCTTCCTTCCTTACAATCCTCATAATTTGTTTGGCACTTTGTTCATATTGGAGATGATGAAGATGATTGCAGAAGGGGCTTGAGATGGAGATGATTGCAGAAGCGGCGAAGAAGATCTGGGGCTGGGGTTCAAGAAACGACGTCGTTTTTTATTGGGACTCCAATTTTTTTTTTTTTTTCAGGACTGATGGCCACTTTACCGTATATATATATATATATATATATATATGGCAGCAATGCTCCCCTCCGCTTATAATATTTAAATCGTATTATTAAATTTCCACATTTCCATTGATTCTACATTTTTATTTTTGATGTGAACTACTTGCAAATTTCATTCTACAAAAACCTTAAAACTACGACCTTTGCAAGGCAACTTAGTCGTTTTACTACCTCAAAGGCTTTAGTTATATATAAAAAAAATATTATGCAATCTAAATTATATTAAATTACATAATATTTATTATTAAATAATAATAAATTTTTTAATATTGAAAACCTTCTTTTAATCAATGATAAATTTTTCTAACATATGTCTTATATGTATAAATTAAGGCCATATTTTTATCATAAATTTATATAAAAAAAATAGTCAAAAATAATATTAACTTTAGTGTCATTAATTGTTATATAAATAAGTTTAATTAAATAATTGATAAATTAAATTTTATTTTTTATTTTTTCAAAATTTTCAACTTGTGTGTTTAAGATACAAGATAAAAAAAACTTTAATAATTTATGTTTTGTAGTGTGAACAACAAAAACGTGAGGCTCTTATGCTCTAATATAAATATTAATAAAAACACATAAATGTGAACGAATTATATACAGAAATTATGTATAAAATAAATAACTAAACACAAAAATTTATTCAAACCATAAAATACATACCACAAATGGGAGGGCCACCTCCATGTTTAAGGGTCACTTTTTCGTAAACCCAAAAGGTTTCTTTACGTAAAGGGTTAATTAATAAAGCAAAGCGGTGATTTTTTGGCGCCTTAAGAAATGGGTCATGAAGACGCGTTCGGTGCTACATTTTTTCAAAAGATTAATAGATGTCCATCAGACCATGACTCATGGGACCCCAAGAGTCATTATATTGCTTTGGGTTGTGTCCATTATTTTAGGCAAACTCCATCTTATACTTTCTTTTTTTTTTTTTGGTATTTACTCCATCTTATACTATTGCACTACATGTGAGGTGTTTTTAGCAAGTCATTAGTTTAGAAAGTAGAGCTCAACTTATATTAGTGTAAGTTTAAGAAAAATTTATATTAATTTTTAGTCACATATTTTAAGTTTTAAGGTGTTTTTTTAAAATTCAAATAATGTATTAATCGTTGACATTTCGAAATAAATAATTGAAATTTAATATATCACTTACAGTTATACAGTATGAGCTGATCTTATACGCTTTAAGAATTTTGTTTTTTTTTTTTTTTTTCCTTTAGGTTTTGGTCAAGATTCAAACATATGGCTGGGTCTAAGCTAAACTACCAGTCAAACTAATATTAGTTTATAAAATTTCAGCTTTGGAACTTTTTCTTATATTTGGTATAAATATGTGCATAATCATAATGTTGACAACATAGTTAAAATATATACAGTTTTTTACATAGGATGGAAACCCCTCCTCTCTCTCTCTTTAGGTCATCTCAAAATAAAATTAAGTATATTTTTTGAAAAGTGATTTAGAGATAATCTTTTTGTACTATCTTTTTGTATAATTTTATATGTCATTTAAATAATTAACTTTTTTATTCAGTTGAGACTTGTGATATTAAATGTATCAACTCATATAATGACATGTAGAAGTTATATAAAAAAAAATAATACAATTTATCCCTATATCATCGCCCTATATAAAGTTATATATAAAAAGGAAAAAGTGCATATTAGTTTTAACTCCCAAAGTAAATTGGAGTTCCAACCTTAAACTATGGTGCTTTATTTAATTAAAACTTAATTCAAAATTTAAAATTTCATTCTATTAAATATTGATGTTTAGGTTTGAAAACTGATTATATTAAAATGGAAAATGATACATTCACCTTACAAATTTACAACCTTGTCACACATTGCCGGCCTAACTATTAAAATATATTTTCTACCATGGATTAGCTTATCCCTTGCTTGTTCAGGATTATATCCCTAATGTTTAAATCCCCTCCATACTCAATTCAGATTTAGGGAGAAAGAGGCATGAGTTTTGGAGATTTTCAGTTCTGAGTTTTGAGAGGCAGAGTTGGCAACAAAACAAAATGGTAGAAAGGGATGGATATATGTAGAATTTGATTGAAGAATGAAAAGAAGAAACATGATTGATTCATCTCATCAAGTAGGCTGATTGAGGAAATCCCCTCCGTATTCAATTTAAATTTGTGGGAAAAGAGGTTTGGGTTTTGGGGATTTTTAGGTGGGTGACGAAAGGATGGGTGAGTTTGAGAGAGACTCATTGAATTCTATCCTTCTCATTCCTTTGCAAAGAAAAATTTTCCTAGTAAACTTATGCTACACATTCCTCTACAAATTTAATTTCACTTCAAATTTGTCCTCAAAATCTTTATAGCAGAGAAGGGACCCACCCCCTTCTACCAACGGCAATGATAGCCGCACAAAACATCCCATGCCCAGATAGCCAAGCCCGACGGCAACCAGCAAAGAACCAAAAAAGATAGGAAGAAAATGATAATGAACGGGAAATAAAACAAGGAAAGAGAAAAGAAGAGAGAGGTTCTCAAATTTCTTCCTTTTTCCCCTTGTTGGCTCTCTTTCAAAAATACCAACAAAATGAGCA